TCCCCTGCCCTAAGGAACATCTCCCTCCTGCAACTACAGACCTGGAAGTGCCCTGTGTGAACAGCAGAATCAAAGTGGAAAAATTATAAGGCAATTTTGCTGGTTTCAACTTGTCCCACACAGAAAGGAGATAGGTTTTAATACAAGATCTAAGAGACAACACGTTTAGTAAACTGAAAAAAAAAAAAAAAAAACTTTTGGCTGGGGAGATGGCTCAGTAGAATAAGCACTTGCCTGGCAAGCTCAAGGGCCTGAGTTCAACCCCCAGTTCCACAAAAAAAAAAAAAAAAAAAAAAAAAAAAAAAAAAAATTGCTATACTATCTATGCACACCTTTGTTCAAGATGATATATTTTACCACTAACATCTCAAATTTGTATTTGTTAATAAAATGACTATTTGAGAATCTTAATGTATTTCTTCATTTATGTATAAGTTTGAAGTGTATGTATTTCCTTGCAGATTTGATTCAAAGCCTGAAGTAATTACTAATGTGTAGTACATTTTCTATTTTTAGTTAACCTAAACAAAGCATCCGATTTGTTAGACCAGATGGCATTTTAAATAATAGAAAAGTCCTTGAAGTTCCAATCCATTGCACAGACATGATGGCCATGAAAAAAAATCCAAATCTACGACACAGATATATTCTGTGTTCATGATTAATGGCTTTCTATTCTCCTTAAAATTCTATTGTTTTGAAAACTTATTAGTATTTAATTGTACATATTTATAGGATATAGTATGATAATAGTGTGTTTAATGATTAAATCAGGGCAGCAATTCTATATCAAATTTTTTTTTAATTTTTTGATTAGCACATAATAAATGTACATATTTATGAGATACAGTGGCACACTCTGGATCTGAAATGGCCTCCAAATGCCTCAGATGGAGCTTTTAGACAATGATTGAATCACAGGAATGTCATCCCCTTCGGGGCTAATCCACTAATGAATCCATGGTGAAGAAGGCTATGAGAAGTTGCAGTCTGGTCAGAAGAGGTGAATAACTTGGGGCATGAAAGATCTTTTCTCCCTTCTCTGCTTCTTGGCAGCTATGATGTGGGCAGCTTTCCTCTGCCAGATGCTTCTCCCATATCCTTCCTGCTTGGAAGGAAGTCCAGCTGACTCTGGACTGAATCCTCTAAGAGCCATGAGCCGAAATACACTTCCCCTCCTTTGAGCTGTAGGTGTGAGTAGTTTTGTCTCAGCAATGAGGAAAGTGACTAAGACATACAGGATGGTGGTTGTTAGAGAATTTGTATTGTGATGTAACCAAGTTGTGTTCATTGAGACTCATATTTCAAAAACACATACTTTGTCTACACAAGTAAATCAACAAAATAACATCAAGGCAAAAAAAACTCAGCCAGAAATAAAAGGTAAACTTAATCCCTTCTTGAGTCATATACCACTCAACTGGAATAACTTTAACACATGGCAAAAGCATACCATTAACCAGCTCCTAAAAGAACAAACCATACAACTGTAAGAACTTGCTATCCCAGCTCTGTGCTTTACTGATGTTTTATAGCTAGCAGAAGTAATCACAAGCCTTGTCTTTTACAGAAGTAGACCACTTATTATTACTTCAAAAAGAGCAATAGCTAATGGCATAAATTAGAAAAAGCAATTAGCACACCCATGGAGTAGAGTCTAGTTTATTTTCTTGTCTGTTACAAAGGATGAATAGTCATTGTTACATGGAGGTGGTAAAGGGGCCCTCAGGTACGCATTTGAGTGGTACACTCTTGGAGTTTAGGCATAGAG